CTAAAGAGAAAAAAATTGAAGTATTATTATTACTACGAAATAAATTTAAAGCAGTTTTAATAGAGAATAAGAATAATTTTAACATAAATGATTTTAATGCACTAATCAATCGATACAAGAGGATAAAAATAATTGTTTATGAAACTATAGAATTATTAAACGGTAATGAAGAAAGTAGCACAACTGAATCTGACACAACAACTGACACAACAACTGACACAACTGAAGGAAAATTCAAGATGGCTAATGAAGAAAAACTTGACTTAAGCTTGGCAATAAAGCTTATAGATCATTTTAATGGGAATTCAACAAAGTTATTAAACTTTATCGAAAATGTAAATCTATTGCAAACATACTCTGCAAGAGTACCAGTAAATGATATAATTGATTTCGTTAAAACCAGATTAATTGGTTCAGCTCATGGAGCAATTGATGGGACTGCAACATTGAATCAAGTCTCTAACAGATTAAAGTTGAAATTTGGTGTAAAAATTACACCTAAAGCTATTGAAAATGAAATGTTTGCCCTCAAACAAGGCAAAAAGACTATTTCAGAATTTGGAAATGACATGAATATTCTTGCAGCTAAGCTTGCTGCTGCACATGTTTCACAAGGAACATTCGTAAATGAATCTGCAGCTGCACCAATAGTGGAAACAATAGCTGTGAATGCTTTTGCCGCAGGCCTTCGTGACAACCAAACTTCTTTTTTATTAAGGCTAGAAATTCGACAAACCTAACTAAAGCAATTTCTGATGCTTTAGAAGTAGCTCCAATTCCAGCTGCTAACCCGGAAAATGCATTATGGATTGGAACAAATAGAAGATTTTCTAACCAATCTTATTACAACCAAAATAAACCAAGAAAATACACATTTCCTAATACTCGTATATTTGGGTTTAATCTTAAAAGTGTGTTTAATAAATACGGAATTTATAATAAGTCAAATTTTGATAAAGATCGTTATAATCGTAATTATTATTACAACCAAAATTATAATCAAAACAAAAATAATAATCGAAATTTTCACAATTACAAAGATAAAAAGAATTCAGTTAATATGATTTCTTCACAGCGAGCTACTGATGATCAACTAAATTCAAATCACTGTGACACAAATTCGAATGATTTATTTCGTGTTATCAATGAACCATGCAATTGAAGCTAAATTTATTTTATACAATCATAGTATAAATTTTGTTATTGATAGTGGAGCCTCTTGTTGCATAATTGACCAAACATACATACCTAAATGGATTGAAATAAATGACAAATATAAAATAAATATTAAGGGAGTTAATGGAATAACTGCTTCACAAGGATGTGTGAACACATTTTTAAAACATGGTTAGTTTAAATTTCCATTAACATTTCATGTTGTCCACAACCTACCAAATAATATCACTGGATTGATTGGAACTGATTTTGATGAGATTAATTCTTGAAGAATATGATTTAAATATAATTTATTTGCAAGGAAAATTTAATACAGAAGCAGATGCATTGTCCCGTATCTCCGTAAATGAGCTCAAGGAGATTAATGATAAAATAAGTGAAAGTATTCTTGTAACTACAAGAATGCAATCAAAGAAAATTATTGATGACGAACTAAGTGATACATCAACGACACTGAACATTCTTGTGGAATTCTAACGTTCTCAGTGTACCGTTGGAGTGCTAGCGATAACCCGAGCAAAAATTTCCGTCTGCTGCAGTTCGGTTGTCTTGCTGCTATCGCCCTCGATAGTTCTAATTTAGCATTTAATTACTGTCCGATGACTTAAACAAAAACGCGATCGAAATAATACGAAACCTTCAGTGGTTTAATAAAGGTTGGAGTATGGGATCATGAACAATTATCGCATTTTACTCTACGTGCGTAAGGGCATTAACACCACAACCTCTTCGTGAAACCCATAAAAATAATATTCATCGGAATAACCTTGGAAATTAGAATCTTAAGATGGGCAACTAGATGAAAATGATTCAACACTGCGAATTGTAGCCCTTTTGACACTCTTAGATTTAGAGCTAGATTTAGAGTTTGTCTTTTATTGGGGTAGCTGTTATGTATTTCGTTAGTTCACATTGTGTAGTTAGAATATATTGATTACTTTGTTCATCTGGAATGATGGGTCCAACCAAATCCAAATATTTTTTTTCAAAAGCACTTGTTGCAGTTGAAGTTATTGTCATAGGAATTTTTGGTTGATTTATGTCTTTATATTTTTGACATAATTCACATTTTTTTATAAAATTTTCTACATCTTTTGACATGTTTTTTTTTCCAAACATATCTTTGCTCCATAGTTTTTAACGTTCGTTTGATTCCTGCATGTCCTGCAGTGGGAAGCATATGAAAATCATTCATTATTTATTTCTTCGTTAAATCATCGTTTATAATTACGATGTTATTTTTGATATTATGTATCGTTGGCATGCCTTTTAATAAATCATTTAAATTTATTTCTTTATAAAATTTTTGCGCATTTTTCTCATACAATTTCATAATGAGCTCGTTTATTTTGTTCTTTTTTACAAATTGTTACCAGACTTTCCATTATTCGCCGTAGCTGAGTTAATGTCTTTGCTGGTTTTATTTTAATCTTTGATAACCTTTTTGAAAATTGTATTTCTTCTGTTATATCATTACGTTATATCACGAAAGGAAGGTCCCGAAGATACGTGCTCAACTTTTTGGCTCAGCTCTGGTACTATCTTCGGTCCCAAGCTAATCGATGCACCCCTCGAAAATCCATGAACCCCTCATTTTATCTGTTAAACTTTCATAGAAAAGCAAAACAAACATAGTGTAGTACTAGAATTTCGACTAGAATGCGATACGTTAATCGTTTGCTTGGGACCTATAGGCTAATCAAGCAGTGAGCCAATTTAAAATCGTTAGTTTCGAATTGATTGTTGGTACCACAGTGTACTTTGTATGTCTGTACAAGGTATTACCACAAACGAAGTGACAGACGGAGCGGCTCGAAAACTTTGGTGACTAACCTGCTATTGCAATTTTTCAGTGTACCACATGGCAACACCACTACTACTGGATTGTACCACATGGCAACACTACTACTGGATTGAACTAGCATTTTCACCAAATGTACTAAAATGTTTTGGTTCTATCTCTTTCACTCTACTCAAAACTGAAATGCATAAAAAAATGACAAAATGATACGCACTCTTTGCACACTGTCAAAGAATCATTGTACACAAAATCAACTTTGTGCAAAACCAAAACAAAAATACTATCCCATCTGGTGGATGATGGCACAAGCTTCTAAGAAAATTCTATTACAGTGAACCACATTATTTTAATTGATTTCTTCGCTAGTTAGTCGTCTGTCACTTCGTTTGTGGTATTACCAACAATCAATACGAAACTAACGATTTCAAATTGGCTCACTACTTGACTAGTCTATTGGTCCCAAGCAAATCGACTAACGTACCCCATTCTAGTATAAATTCCAGTACCACACTATGTTTGTTTTGATTCGCTATGAAAGTTTGACAGATAAAATGAGGGGTCAGTGAATTTTCCTATGTTTCGAGGGGTGAATCGATTAGCTTGCGACCGAAGATAGTACCAGAGCTGGTGCAATTCTAGATAGAGCTGAATTAGGGCGTAACAGCTTTTGTAAACAATGACTTCTCTCGATGATTGCTATAACGTCATGGCTCTCCATGGCAAATCGACATCACCATCGAGTAGGGGAAGACTTCCCCTACCCGATGGATATGTTAGTTTTTGTAGGCGTGCCTTGAGTTACTAGAAATCATCAAGAGAAGTCATTGTTTACAAATGCTGTTACGCCCTAATTCCAGCTCTATCTAGAATTATGCTTCCACCGGTAGTTTATAAAAGAGTAAAACAATTAGGTTTTGCACCGTCGGGGTTAACCTCAATCTGATGACAGTTTAGTGGTACTGTTTACGTGGTTCTGTTTACGTGGAGTTAGTCGATTTTTTCTTGGGTGTATTTTCTCGATAATTTTTCAGACTGCAGTGAGATGTAAACCACATTTCTGCAATGTTCACGAGCAACATCCTTGCAACGCGTTGTTCCTCGACAATTTTCAAGTTAAAATTCGGAAATTTTAGGATTTTTTTTTTGAAAAAACGACTAAGTGCTTGTAAACAGTACCACTGAACTGTCAAAAAGGTTCAGCCGATTAACACTGAGTTCATTCGTGACGTCACGCTGCAGTACCTAATCACAATATTTTTTCATGATTACACAAAGCTCGAATCTATCTTCATCTAGAATTCGTGATAATTAGGTTCTGCAGCGTGACGTCACGAATGAACTCAGTGTTAATCGGCTGAACCTTTTTGACAGTTCAGTGGTACTGTTTACAGACACTTAGTCGTTTTTTCGAAAAAATATTTATTTTAAAATTTCCGAATTTTAACTTGAAAATTATCGAGGAAATGCGTGGTGAAAGGATGTTTCTCGTGGACAATGCAAAAGTGTGGTTTACATCTCACTGCAATCTGAAAAAAATATCCAGAAAATCTACCCAAGAAAAAATTGACTAAGTCCACGTAAACAGTACCACTGAACTGTCATCAGATTGAGGTTAACCCCGACGGTGCAAAACCTAATTGATACCTATGTTTGGTTTAATATTTTATGATAATCGAATTAGGTTCTGCAGCGTGACGTCACAAATGAACTCAGTGTTAATAGGCTGAACCTTTTTGACAGTTCAGTGGTACTGTTTACAAGCACTTAGTCGTTTTTTCGAAAAAAAAAATTCTAAAATTTCCTAATTTTAACTTGAAAATTGTCGAGGAACAGCGCATTGCAAGGATGTTGCTCGTGAACATTGCAGAAATGTGGTTTACATCTCACTGCAGTCTGAAAAATTATCGAGAAAATCCACCCAAGAAAAAATCGGCTAAGTCCACGTAAACAGTACCACTAAACTGTCATCAGATTGAGGTTAACCCCGACGGTGCAAAACCTAATACAATACTATGCATTTCAGACTGCTTTTCTGGATCCACAATGCACCGTGAGGGATATGGAGATTTGGCATCAATGTTACTTCCGCTGGATACCTTTCTTGGAGATAAAAAATGGTGGTTATCCCCAGGTCGACCTATTCAACAGATCAGTGGTGAACAACATAAATAAACTTTTAAAAGTGCTGAATTCAGAAAATCTGTCCGGTTCTAATGAAAACATACCACTTGTAGGTAACAGTGAAGAGAACATCCTGAACAAAGAAGATACTAACACAAATGAAATACTCGATGGTTTTAAGATACCAATGATAAATTCATTCTTTCCTTTTACTAGTAATATTAGCAACACTGAAGAGTTGCTTGAAATTCTGGTTGCAAACGGAGAATTTCTTCCTGATGGTTCGATCGTTGACTGTGCATCGTTAAATTATTGATAAAATTGCATTATATTTTACGTGTCATCAATACAACTTACGCGCTAAAAATCAAAGTCCAAACATTGTTATGCAATTGATTCTGATAAATAATTATTTCACAAATGTAAATATTTGATTCGCAATAACACCAGAAACCAATAAAGTACTGTTTATTTAAACAAATGCTCACATAATTTCGGAGGTATTGAGAACGACCTGATTTTTTTAAATTTTATTAAGCATGGGCGGGTGTGATCAGAGCGATCAGAGCCGTACAAATGGTCGCTACTCCGTGATTGATCAGAATCAGTGAAATTGAATGAATCAACTGATCAATGTAGCAGCGCCTCCTTCGGAAGGTAAGTAAAGCCGTGTAACGTTGGGTTTCTATGGCTCGTGATATTTTTGGAGTAAGGGCATGTTGCCGGTTCGAGTAATGAGTTTTGACTGATTTTTATTTGCACCACTTAAGTCTAAGAAACTTAACTCTACATTTCGTAATTAATCGGTAGGAGGTAACCTTTACTAGTCTCCAAACATAATCAACCAATCACGTGACTTCGTCGTAGGTGATGGTGACCAGTTACGCGATTCCATTCGCCTGAGTACATAGACGAAGGTTGCCGAAAAGATATGAGGAAAGAATTTGGGTTTGTTGTTTTCCGGGTCGCTGTCATTGTCGCTGCGCTTATTATTCTGTACGCGCAATATGGGTCTTAGCGCAAAAGGAAAACATGTGGTTGCAATAATTTGACTGTTTATATATCTGTGGAACAACAAGTGCGGATGGCACTTTTGTTTGGTTTACAAGTGGCTCGACTTTGTAGGTCTCGAAAATGTCTTCGTCATGAAATTTGAGATTGTAGGTCGGATTCAATTTGGATGATTTATAGTATGCTACACCTTCCCCGTTTGGAAGAATGATGTAACGAAGTTTGTAATTCGGAAAAGTTTTAAATTGTGACTAGTAAGGTTCCTTTACAAATATTTTTGATAGATTATATGGTTTACTTTCTACTCTTATGCCTTGATTAACCTGTTTTTGTGAATGGTACTCTGTTTTTGTGTTAAAATTAGACCTGTGCGCCGCCACGCCACGCCGCCGCCGCCAACGATTTTCATACGCCGCCGCCGCCGATGAAATTGAGCCGGCGCGCCGCCGCAGCAAAATCGTTCACGCCGCCGAATAAATTTATGTCACGCCGATGAAAAATCCGCAATACCTTTTCGGTAAAATGCATCTTGAACGCGTTGAAATTAGAACGCTCGTTCATGGCTACTAAAAAATTGAGTGAAAAACCACTGAATTTAATTGAAATTGAATCTACTCAAAATTTAATAACATAGTCAGAACTAAACTTTGAGTAAAACGGCGAAAATAAGCAAATATTTCGTTTCTTTTCTTTTTTTTTCTTTAGTATTAATAAACTTTAAACTAAAAAGCATTTGAATCAAGCCTTTTATTTTAAATAAAACAGATTGCAAAACAATTACAATTCACACAATTACCACGCCGGCTGCAATTTGCACCATTTTCGAATGATTTTTTTCGAAATTTTCGAATTTTCTTCTACGACGGCAAACTTCGTAATTTTTAGGACTGAAAAATTTCATCACAGCTAAAATGCTACTTTTATGAATTATGAAGATATGATATATTCTAATAATAATTTTTATATGTAAGATACAAGAAGAGGAGGTAAAGTTTGTGTATGTGACAAGAAACCTGTCAAATTCACTTCCAGAGCGTCGCAATTAGCTATTAGTTATAACGAAGAGTACTCACTCATTGAAATATTTCAATACAATACAATACATATAATACATAAAAAATATTATTATAATATCTCATAGTAGCATAATTTTGAAAGTAGCGGTTTAGCTGTAATGAGATTTTTCCATTTTGTTTCTTTTTTAAATCAACAACTGGGCTGAAAACTCAAAGTTGAGATCCACCTTTATTTATTTATTTAAATATTGTTGCGTCAATGTTACTTATATTCAAAAATCCCAACTACTCATGCTTTGACGTTTAAAAAGAGGTTATGAAAATGAATACGTCTGACTCATGTTTGAGTAACCTCTAACAAGCCGTATGAGGCAGCGATTTAGCGTCATTTAGTTTTTTGACGTTTGTTCGCACTTCCTCTATCTAGCACACAGGGATGAATCCAAGGGGTAAGTCACTCAGCACATTGTGCCATAATTAGATTCGGCACAACTTGAGCACATCCATTGGCACACCTTTGGCACAATCTCGTAGGCATTTGATTGTTGTAAATAAAATGAAAGAACTGCTGGTCACTCAAGTTGTTCAAAACATTACGTGCTGTTTGGTTGTATATTCAGGAACATCCTCTAATGAGATATACCTGAGGAACTCAGACCAGCAGTTCACTTCTTAGTTCAATAATAGATTTAAATCCGAAATGCCGCTATACCGATTTATGCTTGCCATTTCAAACCAAAACATTTCAGGTGCCAGAAATAACGGGTTGCCGGGATAAGTATTTCACAAAAAATCACAGCTTGCTCTATGACCGTCACAATCGGCACACCTGCGGCACACTAAAAAAAGATGACCCAAGATTGGTGTGTGACCTACCCCTTGGATAAATTATTATTTTGTCCTCCTGCTCGTACTTGTTCGAGATAGTGTTTTGGTGCGCTGATCAAACGTCAAATATCTCAGTTCACTGGTTTCGTCTCGATGAGTAAGAATGGCGAGATCTATAGGTGAGACAGAAGGAAAATAGCCGACTCTTTCTTTCAATCGATCCGACGAGAACCCTGGATGAATGAAACAGTCGACTAAAGTTTCCTACTGCCTCACCTATAGATCCGGCACATCGGTCTCGTCTCAGTTACGCATTTTATTTTTGACGTTTTGTTTCCCATTCACGACAACATTCACGATGTCGAATTTGAATTTAAATAAAATACCTTTGAATTTTCTGTCGATTGATACTTCGAGAGGAAAAAAACCTCGAAATGGAAAAAAATAATCATACAAATATTAACCGATATCGACGAATCTGGAGATTACCTTGATATGGATGAGCAACACCCGTTATCTATTATAGAGGAGGAGCTAGATGGTCAACTTGCAAGTTTGTGTGAAACGAATATCAATGTTCAATTTGACGGTGAATCTAAATGAGCCCCAACATTTAAAACAGTCAGCGTAACACGTTGGCATTAATTACTTAAGATGATGATAAGTCTTGAACTGAATAGAGCTGGCGTGAATGCTTTATTGAAGCACGATCTCATATTCACAGCACATAAGTGGGCGCTAGTTAAAACTTGTGAAACTTTCTTGAGCCGTTTAAAGTGAGTTTTTTTTTAAGTCGTTCTGAAACTATAATAATTATTGTAAACTATTTTTGCTATGTCTCGAGCAACTAAGCCTACTAACAAATTCCATCTGACTGACTGGTGACCATATAGGGTTTGAAAATCAATATCCAACCAGTGCATTGAAGATCAGATGTTTGTTTGCTGATACACTAGACGATAGCTGAGAAAATAATGATAGATTTTCACCTAGGGAACGGAATTCACTAATATCAATGCATTTAAAAGGCATCAGTGTTCTTCCAGTTAATCATGACATTTTGAAATTGCATCATTTTGGCAGAAAATGTTCTTTAATTGAAACATTGTCTCAGTTAGCGGACAAGTTAAAAACGTGCCAGTTAAAAGTCGATCACGAAGCGAACGTCTAATGTGAAAAGTTTCATTTTAGTTCCAATGTGATTTTATTCTAGTTTGTTTCTGAGACATGGTGACATAGTGGTGGTGAACATATTGTAGTAAAATTTCGTTTTGGTTAAAAGATTATAGTAACCCTGTTGGCTGTTGAAAAGAATGCAACAGTTTACATTGCCATGCTCTTGCGATCTGAGATTGAAGTTTGTATCAGTGAAAAAAATGAGGACTTGCTTATCATAACACATATGAAGCTGGGGATGAACGAGCAACTGAATCGAAAGTAACCGCGTAAATTCCGAAATCCTCGTAAAAAACCGCGTAAATTCCGAAATCCGCAATCAACAATCTTAATTCACGACAATTACCCTAGCTGCACCCTTGTTATAAATTGGTATTGGAAACTTATATACGACTTATTTCAGTTATAAACAAGTTGCTGCAACTTTTTGGGACAGAATTGTGCTACTTGGGTACAGCATTTGTCAAAATAGAGTTTTGCAATAAACACTGGCTTACTGACGAGGAACGGATTTACATAAAGGTGAATAAGGAACTATTATCAACTATAGATACTATAGATTCCATAGATAAGTGGAGGCACAAAAAGTTGTTTTGGCAACCATGAAAAATAAATGATCTTACTGGCATCCGTAAAAAAAAGTTCATGCCATCATAGAGCTCTTTGTTGTGCAGTTTTGTTGTGTTTCGTGCGCAAAAGTTCAAAATGAAGTGTGTAACGATAATTTGAACCCTATTATTTTTGTATTAATGTTTACCCGTTCGTTCGTGCTACCCATACAAGTAAAGATAAGTTTCATGAAAGCTTTGGATGTCCATGAATATTCAGAGCATGCTGTCAGTTTGTATGCTATCTTAGACATCCACCTTTGTAGACGCCACCTAGTTGTTGACACAGCAGTTAAGATACCATTTTTAAAATTTAAAACCATTGCGTCGTAGAGAATTCAATAGATTTTGGCTATTATGCATAAAACCTTGTACGACTTCGTTTATTCTCTCGAATCGGCCAATAGGAAGAAATTACGCAGTAGTTTTTAGGCACAACCCAAGCTACTCCGCGTCTATCGAATCATTTGAGTGGAGTGCTTTGAAGTTAAAAGAAGTAATTAACTGCTGATTAAGGTTGAAGTGAATATATTGAAATTTACTGTGCAACATCTAAACTCGAAGTAAGTTCGGACGGTTTAGTAAATTTTGGTGATTTAAATCCATTTAAATAATTTATTACAGTTTTTGAATTGTGTGGAGTGCTTTGAAGAGATAAGTCGAAGATATTTTGAAGTGGTTTAAAAATTGTTAAAAGGTGTTCATTTAAAAAAAGTAATAAACGGTTAATTAAACTCGAATACATTGTCGAACATTAGCGACCAAATTTTGTCGAGCGAAATAGTGTTCGTAAAGAACGTTTAATATCT